CAAATTTTAACTAACAGTCTATATGGGGATGTTGTGGAATTCCTGTATGCGAGGTTTAGTGGGACCCAAGACATGGGGAAAACCATTCCCCTAGAGCCCTTACACCTGAAGAACCCTGTAGGGAGGTCTTCACTGGGTCCCACCGTATGTCAAGATTGTCATAGTATAATTTAAATTGGTCAAAAAAAGATAATTTCACCCACATTTGATGTTTAGGTGTTGAATATATTATGGTTGGGACCCGAGACATGAGGACACTCTTTTCCCTGGAGCTCTTACCCCTGAAATATACAAGAACCCTGTGAGGAGGTCTTCAGTGGGACCCTCCGTAGGACAAGTGATGTGATAGTATCATCAAGAAAGGTAATTTCCCCCACATTTCATGTTTAGGTGTTCAATAATTTATGGTTGGTTTCTTATATCTCTCTGGAACCCCTCAGATGAAACCTGACTTCTGAGCTCCATCCAACGGCCACAATCATTACCAGAGGATCTCATTCCCAAAGTAGAGTTCTAAATTTAACAGACTATACAGGAGGTGCAGATCAATTCCTGTATGCGTGGTTTACAGGGACCTGAGAAACAAGGAAAATCCTTCCTCTGAAGCCCTTACCCCTGAAATATACAAGACCCTGTGGGGAGCTCTTCACTGTGTCCCAACTTTTGTCAAGAGATGTCATAGTATCTTTTTGGACTGGAGTTCTAATTTATCTCTTCTTTTATGCATGCCCTCAAATTTGTGGTCAGTGCTGGTGCCTAGGTGCTCTGAGCACTCCAGAGTGCACAATCCCACCGTTCTTTTCCTACAAGCCATAATGTTTGGTAGGGCTTTGGCTCTGTCAATGAGTAACATACATGAGATGGGGCATCACAATAGTGTGCTATTAAATGTGCATCTGTTTAGGGGTGTGGTGTTCTTGTGTTGTCACCTTTTTCTAGTCGGAAATGGAGCTCATTGAGTTCCGATGCTGCAAGGTCAGCAATATATAAAGTGTAGGGGAAGGGGATGTCAATGCTGCTTAGGAGCCTAAGTCTATACAGTTACTCAAGTAGCAGCATCAGATAGAAAGGCCACAAAAACTGACAGTGCTTGCTAAAACCAGAGCTGTGGCCAATATACCATTGTGACTATGTTCCTTAGTCCTCCTATAAGAGTACCTGTCACCGTCTGTTCCTGTGACCGTTTATAGAAAATGGATTGTTACTAGTCATTTAAAGTGACAGTGTTACATCAGCCCAAACCTAAATGACCCCTTCTTCTACCAGAAAATGTTAAACATTAAATTTCCATTTAACACAAAGTGCAGTCCTGACAAATGTTATCATGAGCCGTACCTCCAGGGCCGGATTTACTTTATCTGCTGCCCCAAGGCCAGGTTCCTCAGTGTGCCTCCCTACCTGCCACCCCCCGCTATCCCCCCAACGGAGAATGGCAGACCTGCAGGCTGCATACAAGTGCCCCTGCTGCCCTTCTACTCCCTGCTGCCCAAAGGCCGGCCCTGGGTACTTCCACCTTGAAGGGCTGTCTGCATGGTGTTTCTTGGGATCACTATCCATTGCGATTGTTCTGAAATCCATTTCCTGATGAAGAGGTAATAAAACTAATACTGAACTGCAAAAAAGTTCAGTATTATGCAATCTAGGCCAGAAATCACAGGTATACACCCAGCAGGGTCCACCCTTGAATGCAGCATCCGTTTTATATGGACTATCATACGTATGTACTCTTAGCTGAGAGATCTGATTGATTATTAAAGATTATTCCTCCTTCTACTTCCTCATAACGTTTATTTTAACTTTTGCAAAATATCTATAAATCAAACCCAGGAAGTGAGAAGAGGGTCATAGCTTTTGCTTCACAGAAAGACAGCCAGAGCTCACTGGTCCTGGTCACCATGTCCACCTTCATTATCATCACTTTACTGTGTAAGTACAAAGAGTTTTATTATCTGACTTTCAGAGCAAATTCTTTGAGTTTCCAATCAAAGCTGATGACATTTTTTGGCTCTGCACCAAGCAAAGTGTATCTTCCATGTGCGATGGTATACCTTGCGGAAGGTAGTCTTCTGGACTAGCAGAGGTAGTCATCTTAATAGGTATAGGGGACCTCAACTTTGGTCTGTGACATCACCAATGGGCTGCACATGGTGTCCAGTACATGTAATGGTGGAGAGGACTGTCAGAGACTGCATAAATACTAGAGGGAATGATGGCCATCAACAGGGGACATGCTACAGATTTGGTTGGAGACATACTACAGAAGACAACGAGGGCATGGAGACATGTTACACACGGTTAGTACAGGTCACTGCACTACAGACTTTTGGAGTCCAAGTGCCATACAACATTATCTAAGGGCTGCATGTGGCCCCAAGGTTACAGGTTGGGCTCCAGGGGACAATAGTATTAAACAAATTCTGTAGAAGGCTATAAGCAAAAACTTACTTACAGTTAAAATCTCTATTCTGGTCCAAGTATGATGACATTTTCTCACGAGCTGTGCCATATTTATCAGAAATGCATTGTGCTACATTCAGGGCTGGATTTCCCACAAGGCCAACCAAGGCCCAGCCTTGGGCAGCAGGGAGTAGAAGGGCAGCAGGGGTGTGGAATTCCTATTTCCCGATGCCCGGGGCATGCAGTTCCGGGCGCTGGGCGGGTGTATGCAGGCTGCAGGTCTGCCATTCTCCTGTCGGGGGAGGGGGGGGGGGCGCATTCAGGAACCTGACCTTTAGGCAGCAGAGAGAGTAAATCTGGCCCTGGCTACATTTCTTTAGCATAATCTGATGTTGGATTGAAGTGCTGAGATTACCCATCTCACAAAAACAGCTACAAAAGGCATCTGAGCAAAGCATTTAGTGACTGGTGCTGTGTTATTTATGTAGATGGTAAGAAGTGACCGTGGGCTTGTCACGGAGCCCGGAAGGTGCCAATTTATTTATATATGACCACAAATGTGACTTTGAGCAGTTATGTTCTATCATCAAACATTACTGACATCTCTCCAGCAAGAAAAAGGTAATTAACAGTCATTACTAGGGCTGGGTACAGGGGGCAGATGTCCCAGATTTATTTCCCTATGTATCATGTTGTTCAAATATTGTTTTCTGCTTTCCCAGTACCCTCAAGTCTTGTATCTTCACTTCTTGCCTTGTATAACTAATAAGGGATGGGGCGTGGGGGTGTCTAAATACTCCAAGAGGGAGCTAAATGAGGGATCCGGTCATGTAGAGAGGGGTCTGGTGGCTACATAGCTAAGAGTCTGATGGCTAACTGACTGAAGCTTTATAAAGGAGAGGTGGCTGGATAAGGGGGATATGATGAATACATTAAGGGGTCCATAGGGGTGTGTTACATGAACAATAAAACAAGGGGCTGGATAAGGGGGATATGATGAATACATTAAGGGGACCAATGGGGGGGGTGCTACATGGACCATAAAACAAGGAGTTGGATAAGGGGGATATGATGAATACATTAAGGGGTCCAATGGGGGTGCTACATGGACCATAAAACAAGAGCTGAAGAAGGGGGATATGATGGATACATAGAGGGGTCCGATGGAGGTGCCTCATGGACCATAAAACAAGGGGCTGGATAAGGGGGGTATGATGAATACATAGAGGGGGTCCAATGGGGGTTCCACATGGACCATAAAACAAGGGGCTGGATAAGAGGGGTATGATGAATACATAGAGGGGTCCAATGGATGTGCTACATGGACCACAAAACAAGGGCTGGATAAGGGAGATATGATGGATACATAGTGGCGTCCAATGGGGGTGCTACATGAACCATAAAACAAGGGGCAGGATAAGGGGGATATGATGGATAAATAGAGGGGTCCAATGGGTTTCCAAGTTTTTCTACATCATGAGGCTGATTTATAAATTTCTATCTGTGCAAACAGCATTTGCCCAGCTATACTGTGGGCAGAGCATAAATCAGCCCCCAAGTGTTATCGGGGTGCACCAAGAATGCATCAGTTATTTAAGACTGGGGGAATTATAAGAATACATGTGACATGTTTTAATACAGTGTGTAGATCATA